CCTGGAATAACCTCGTTCCCAAGCACTTTAACTTATCTACATTTCTATATCTTCATGGCTACCCAATGAATTGTTTTGAAATAAAATATTTAACTTACCCATCTCCTGAATCAACACCTGAATAAACACAAAACATATTAAGTTAATATTTCATAATACATAAGTGATGTCCATGGGTACGAAAGTTTACTCAATATTGTAAAAAGTGGATTTCAAACAAGTTGTTCAAGCTTTGAATTAACTGAATTYAAATATACATTGCAGGTGCCACACAAATTCTTGCACTAGTTAAAAGTATGTAAACAATACTCATCCCACTTACTATCATCCAATTTGAGGTTGGCTAAGCAAGAATATGAATATGACTTTCCTTGCATGCTAACAATATTAGCATTTCTGCTACTTGAGCCTTTGTGGAACTTTTCATGATTTGGTGTTTCTTCTTGTGAATGTTTAATTGAGTCAATTATATCAGCCAGTTTGTTACTTTCTTCTTCCTTCGTTAAGTGTTTAGGAAGATCAATAACTTGAGTTCTACTGCGAGATGGTTCTCTAGTCTTTCTTATATACTCGGTGCTTGTTAGATCATCCAGACTTGAACTGACCCTATCATGGAAGCCAGATTTCCCATCATCTTTTATCTTCTCACCCCAACTTCGCCTTCGCATATCAGATGAGTCATCAACATCTAGATAGGTGCTTTTGTCAAGATCTTCATTAATGGAGTTGCAAGATATTTCTTTCTCATTTTTCGTATTTATCATTCCTGCCATTTTATCACTGGGAGGCCTTTCCTCTTGCTTTACAGGTTTGCCTCCATTAAACAAATAACCAACACAAAATATTTTTAATTTGACATCAAATTTGCATTCTCATCAGTTAAAAAAAGTAATGCCCACTTCTTATAGGTTGTGATTGGCTGAGCTATTACACCCACTTTCAAAATTAATTACGTGATCTAGATGTCTTCAGACATTTGGAGTTTTGGCTTCCGTAAATCAAAGTTGGCATGGACTACGTTTAAAGAAATCASCGCTCAACCAATCAGAAACAACTATTCCCATGGCGATTATGTTAATCGAAGTATTATAAAAGCTTAAGAAAATGCCATTCAATAAATATTCTTGAGTTTGTTTTCATACCTGATCTTTAAGGTTATGGATTTGTTGCACTTATTTCGAATCAGTCTAGGCTCTTACAAACATTATTTTTAGCAATGATTGACAATTAYAACAATAAACTCAACAAAAAAAAGGAAAACGAAGTCAATAATATTATTTGATCTATAGCACAGCCATTAACTTTGTGACAAAGATCTCAGAAACTTACCAATTATCATATGAGCTTGTGTAATGTCTTGACCTCTGAATGATGGACAAGATAGTCGACGCATTTGCCTCCTGTCTGCAGGCCCTTTTGTCCCAGTCTTTTTTTTAAAATACATCAGACAAAATGTCAATATGGTACCTAGTTGGCAAGATTAACCCCTTTCATACCAAGGACATATAAATATGTCAACAAATATTTGACTGAGCTACCCCAGACATATACATGCAACTTTGGTACTCATAAATTATCTCAGTCTATAATTCCTAGTCATTGCTGGTGATTGTGATAACAAAAAATCTGTGCACTGAGAATGAACTGACTGCTTAAAATAATATAGTACTGGTCTTGGTGTTTAGCACATGTCCCTTTGAAYGTATAGGAAACAATACAAAATGGCTGCTTGGAACACTGGGAGGGAAGGTGTTTTTTTTTAAACTCTTGTTTAGCTTTTCATACCTCTCTATGATTTCTTTGTGAAGTGACACGAAGCCTTTGAATCTCCTCATTTATGTCTCTTAATCTCTTAAGATTTTGCTCTAAAGAGAGTAAAAGAAGATTAGCATGTACACTGCCATCAAATAACATACAAGAATATTTGATGTCAATTTTCTAAAAGTTGAAACACAGGTGTTATGATTAATTTTCACTCTATAGAGATTGACTATTGSAAACCATTCTTCAATATAGCATTTTAATCAAGACCAGACGCCATGAAAAAAGTTCTTTGAAACATAATCTACCAAGAGACAAAAATCATGTAGATGGTGAATCACAAGAAAACAAACAATCAATATTTTACACACCTGTGTAATTAGGGTTTTAGAAATACTTTATTAAATAAATTAGGTTTGAATTTTTTGTTGCTCAGGGTTAGCCTTGCTTTCATGTTTCACTGTTTTCAGTGAAGGTACATGGCATTTCAAAATGTATCGTTTAAGTTGTGCATTCTTTATTCCTTTACCATTGGTATTTGCAAATATTTGGTGCTGAAATGAGACTATCCATGAGTCATGAGTCTGCAATCATGGAACACAGCTGTATTTTATGAATTCAAACAAGAYGCTCCTGGAGCATGCACTGGGTTGCCTATTTATCCTTTTTCTGTTTTTTAACATCCAAACAATTTGAGGTGGAATGAGACTCAATTAGTAAAAGGATTCATGCAAATAAGCAGATGGAGTGGCTGAGAAACCRCATTACATTACTGACATGATTACTCTCCATATTGTATTACGGCACTAGAATATTGACCTTGTACAAAAAGTTGTATCTAAAGATGAAATAAATATTATTTATCTCAGGAACTGTAAATGGCCAAATAAGCAACATAAATTTGTTTAGAAATGTGTTTAATAAATATATGGTTATTTTTTCGCTAACTGTTCTGAAGTTCTTGATCTCTCCATTATTGATTATATTCTCCAAATGTGGTTTTTTAAAATATGCAAATCAGTGATTCACAGAAGTGGGATGAAACTGGGTTAGTTAAAGGATCCAAAACTTAGCGAAAAGTATTTTACAGCCAAAGTTACCAGCTCTATTACAGCGTAGTATTTAAAGATATATTCATGTGCCTTTAATTATTAGCTAAAGACTGAAAGCCGTATTTCCCTTTAGGCTATACTAGCCCAGGAGATTGAAGCCAGAATACTGCTGACTGAGTAGCTGTATTAATACTAATAAATATCTGAATTACAATCCTAGAAATCTTCTTTTACCACTCAATTATATTACTTCTAAACCCCGGAGTTACAGCCTCAGCTGCAAAGCCAAGGTGTGAGCCATTAATCTATGAACATGTCATTCAAATCCTTGTATGGCTAGTCCTGTGCAATTGGCACTTTTCTTGAGAAGGAGAAGACAAAAAAACCAAAGACATTTCATGACTGGGCTGCAACGGGCAACTCAGTAAAAAGGTCACAAGTTTATAAAGGACAATATAAAAGTCTCCTAAATGTCGTATAATTCTCCTGGAAAGAGGGAGGTACTTTCATACATAGATAGGTGAGGGTGCATTCTAAATATGACCCCTAAACTGCATTTGGGTCTTGTCCAGGGGGGTGTCAATTAGTATATGTAATAGGACTCCATGCTGTCCAATTAAGTGGTAAAAGGGGACTGACAAAATTGGATGTGGCTGTAGGCTGAGTCCAATTTGGCAGTCAGAGGAATTTTCTAATTATTTTCTAAGTCTAATTATTTCTTGATTGCGGAGCATGAAAYCCCATTACCTGTTAATTATATAGCTGCCTAATTAATCCCATATCAAAAAGACCTGTCCAATTAAGAAAATAATTGGACAGTTACCTAGTATATGGGATTAATGAGAAGCTGTATAATAATCAATGATTTTTACACCTAAAAGGTATCAATTATCTATAAGCGGGACAAAGTCCCRATGATGACCCAAAAATAAACATCATTAATGATTTTACAACTTCCATTTTGGCAGTTATGAAYATAATCTTGGGTATCTTATTACCTGACAAACACCCAAAGAGATACCAGCTAACTCTCTATTGGTCCTTTTAATTTTGTGACACCCTAAGAGTAAGCAAGTATGAGCATCCTTGCCCTTTTCCACACACCCCACCCCAGTTATTTCTGTCTTAACCAAATGAGCTCACTCCTTGAAAATTTCGTTTAAGTTTTCAAGTGCCTATAACACCTAACCCAATATTTTTATGAGATTTGAGTGATGCATTTCGAAGATATCAGGGTTTATTCTTCCAATATTTATGTTAATGAGAGTGATGTCATTATAGATAAGCATCAGTAAATATAAAAAACCTTTCTGGAAACATCATGACATTGTATAAAACTCTATCTTACTCAGAGTTTATGGCTTGAAAAGGTACTGCAAATTCCTTTTCTCATAGTAAACAAAATAATAATGACAATAAACTCAAAGGCCTATAGTGATTATTACATTACCTACACTCATTGTTATATTGGAAGCATGAACCTTGATATCTTCAAGATGCATCACTGAAATCATATGTACATATTTTACCTTTCAACTTTTCACTTCATATAGAATCAATACGAAAAATATTGAGTTAGGCATTATAGGCACTTAATGTTGCTACTCTAATCACTTAATATTCAAAAAAATGATATATAATTAAAAGCATATTATCATATAATTACAGCCTGTTTTATATTTCTGCAACCTAATTTACTCCTGTCCAGAGCTCTAGGACTTAGGCTCCTGTCAATCAAATTTCAAATCAAATCAATGAGTCATGGGGGTATTTGTTGCTCACAATTGGAATGCATTTGTCAATGACCTGTTGCATTTTTTATTGACAGATGCCAAAAAGTCAGACATCTGGAGTTGGTTAGGTTGCAAATATATGAAAAAGGGTGTTATATATTGACATATTGATTTTTACCAAGAAGCAGTCTGTTTGACCCAGGTATCCTACATTGACTTTTTATATCTTTCTTTCCTGCATGTTCATTATTGTTTGTAGTGGATCCCCTTTCTTGGAAAAAAATGTTTTGTACAATTAATAGATAGAAGATGTTCAATAATTTAAAATTCTAAGTGAACAGTATTTTCAAATGTCTTAAAAGCGAGACAAGTAGATATTAATAGAAATTGTCCAAATTTTAATTCACCTGATTTAATAGAATATGTTTTTAAAGTTTCACAGGAAATCTTTTTAAATATTCAGATGGAATGTAATTTAATTATATTTTTATAATTATATAATCTTTAAAGGAGTCATCAACGTCAGCACCTCTTCAACACATTTCTTTGTATTTTGTGATCACAATATCTGCAGGTTTCATGCTTAGTATGGAAATAGCAGATATCTTGATCACAAAATAGTCTAAGTATAAAAGACTAAGCTGTGACGTTCTAATTTCAATAAAAGTTATTAAAGACACCAAATTTGATGGGAAGGTATCCGATCTTTTTGATCCAAAGTCTTTTCGATCCAGGTCTTTTCGAACCACCTAAATACACTTTYGATCCACCATATACATTCAGTTGAAGAATCGCTGTAGGTTCAGAAACATAGAACATAGAAGCTGAGACCRATCGAAATGGCACATGGGAAGTACGTTAMTTAAATGCATGCTGTGACCGGTGACCCGTGGCATCATCCACTGTTTTTAATACGAGTTTGGCATTCTAAACCAACTGCATGGATGCCGCAAATGAATATTATGTTATGTCATTTCCCATGTGCCATTTCTGTCTCAGCTTTTATGTTCTATGTTTCTGAACCCGACAACTATTCGTCAATCGAGTGTATACACATTTGATTCACATATATAACTAAAGCRTATAACAAGTCCTGTATGCTGTGTACATGCAAAATGTAAAAGAGCATATTTGAAAAAGCTGTTATGAGTAYCGACTAAAAGATTATGATCAAAAAAGAAATCGAAACTATGCGCGTTGTACTATGCGTTTGGCTGGGCATGATGATTACATTGGTGCCACAGACTTTTTCAAACAAATGCCTTCCAAATGTCTTAAATAGTAGGACATTAATTTAAATTCTTGTTTATAGTATCTGATAACTGTATCTAAACATGAAGTGGAAATATCATCGGCTAAGTTTAGCGTATAATAGAGCGGATGYRATTAAACCRTGAAATAAAAWCAAACTAAATACTAACTAATAGTATCTATTTAGTGACTAATAGTTGCTATCACTCAACCAGAACATTTTATTAAACAAAAGACACAGTCAAATGGACTCTTGTGTATTGTCTGTGTATGAAGTTAGCCMGGGATTCAGCCGGTGTGTTGTGTTATGTATCTCTCCTTTAATTCGTGAATAATCTGTCTTCTCTTTATCCTTTCATGATGATGTTTCTCTATTTTTATTCGTTTGAAAGGTATTTCAAAGCTTTTTGGATATAAAAAAAGTTTTTTCAGAAGATTCCAAAAATCAATAAATAACTCGTTACCAAAAAGAAGGTTTATACTGGTTTCACTGATGAGAGGGTAACAACACACATGCTAATTGTCACATGCTTGTCACACAACAGTAATCATTCGCTTTTAAAGTTTTTCATTCCTTCTTGATATTCTTTCACTTTCTTCTCTAGGAGATTCATATTCATGAAGGAGGRAAAAAAWTTTTCTTGGCTAAAGACTTTACGTGAGCAAGAAGTGACAATGGGGGCTARCTTAACTTTGTAAGCGATAACACATATCACACACAATACTTGGTTCCCTCAGTTGGTTTATTTCTGTAATATTTCAGAAAGAAAACACTAAACATCTATAAAATATTTCATAACTGTATTGGATCGAATGTGTATATATGTGGATCAAAAGTGTATATAGTTGGATCGAAAGTGTATGAGGTAGATTGAGAGTGTATATAACTGGTTCGAAAAGACCCGGATCAAAATTAGACTATGGATTAAAAAAAACCGGTGTTCGATGATGGGAATCAGTCAAACATCAGCTTAGATATGGCCATTTGAATACATAATAATTATTTCCCCTTACAAATCACATATTTTCAGCTCGTTCTAAACTTTTAGAAAAGAGTAGAAARTACAATGATTTGTATGGGGAAATTATATACATTCATAGTGATGATCAAATTTCTTACCTGTTTTCTGGTTCTCATTCTTGTTAACTGGCCACAAGTGCATAAAAATAGGAATTCTTTTGCTTAACTATGAAAGATAATCAACAAATATTTATTAAATAACAGCAAGGCTGAATTAAAGCATCTTGCTTTCTGCTTTTCTATTTTTTGGAGTCTGTGACGCTGCTTTTCTATTTTTTGGAGTCTGTGACGCTGCTTTTCTATTTTTTGGAGTCTGTGATGTCACACACTCAACATCGAACATCGCTCTATGCATTTCTTTGTAGTTTATGATCAAAATATCAGTAGTAAAGGGAGAAAGAAATACCCAAACACCCCAAAATATTAATTATAGTCACAAGTAATGTGAAATAAGCACATTAGCCACCCTTTGGACTTCACAGGTGGAATAAAATAAATTAAGGATTTATATACAAAGAAATATGTGTAGCAATGTTTGATGTTGAGTGTATGACGTCACCGGCTCCAAAAAATAATCGTAAAAATATCAAACTTTTGTCCTGAATATTGAGAAAACACTTCATACAGTGATTATTGGACCTTTAAAGAGTATTCTTAGGAAGTTTCAGTTGAATCCAAGTTTGAGCAATTTTCGTCAGAGTAGCACTTTAAATGTGCTACATAGGAATGACTTTAAGATCTGAAAAATTGAATCAATATATATGGCAGGCTTTCGAAATAAAAATCCCTATAGCCTGGCATAAAAATCTACTCTTTGAGATTTTACCATAAAATTTATATACATCATCAATTATCAAATATTTGCAACACCTGCAAACATCATTCTTATCTTGGAGCTGCAGTGAAAAAAAGGATGCTAGAAGTGGACACAAGGTTTGCAAATATTGTAACTGTGATGTTAAAGTGCCACATATTTTAACAATAACAATTGTTGCTTTGCTTTGTTGGATTATATGACAGGTTATAATAATAATAATATAATATWTTTTTTTACCTATCTATCTATCAAATATGTATGCATGTTTAATTTATATACACTCAATCGGAGAATCGTTGTCGGGTTCAGAAACAGAGAATATAGAAGCTGAGACCAAAATAGCACATGGGAAGTACATTAATTAGATGCATGCTGTGACCGGCGATCCGTGGCATCATCCACTGTTTTTAAGGTGGCTGGACCCCCTCACGCTTGACCGCTATCTTCCACTTTTGGAACGCTGGTGCATAAACGTGTTTTATCCGATTGCAAATCTTTTTTGCACATA